GACTCGAGCCCAGGTGTCTAGCCGCTCCTGGAACACTGGCTCTCCCACATTCTCGTTTTATTTCTAAGTGGATACGTGACAAAAATGCAGCCGTACCGAGTAGGCAGTGTGATCAAGTCTCCCGCACTCTTGACCCCATTTATTCATGGCTTCCTAGAAGCTGCGCAGGCTGCCAGCTCTTGACTCAGTTGGTCCTAAAAGATCCTGCCCGGTGGGGCTGCACAAATATCCCCCAAGCTGGGTTCCGTCCCAGGATGCCCTTGCACTGGGCTGCCACTTGATTGTCTGGCCCAGAAGCGCACTCCCACGTGGCACGTGGCCACTGAGGCGTGGGTGAGCTGGCCTGGCGGGAGGACTGCCCCGTCTGTAGGACCCTGGGATGGTGTGGCCATCGTGGGGTCTGGAATTGCAGTGGGGGACCCATGTTAGGGTCTAGACAGGGCATTCTGATGATTATGCTTTGTTGTTTTGATTTTGTTTTGTCTTTTTGAGACAAGGTTTTGCTATATAGTTCAGGCTGGCCCTGAGCTCACTTTGTAGCCCAGGCTGGTCTTGAATTTGCAACAGCCCTTCTGCCTCAGCCTCCCGAGTGTCTGACAGTGACGCTAAACCTACGGGATGCAGGGACAGTGTGCAGTGAGCGTGCATCCTGAGAAACCCTTCTCTGTGAGCACCTGTCACTGGAGCCTAAATGTCTCTCCCAGTTATTTGCTATTATGATGCTGCAGGATCCCAAGACTATCTTTGTGCACGCCTGTGGGTAGAGCTATAGGAAAAATTCTCAGCAGTGGAACTGGCTATGGTAAAGGATATACTTTTTTTTTTTTTTAGATAGAGTCTTGCTATAGAGCCCAGGCTGGCCTTGAACTCGTGGTAATCCTCCTGCCTTAGCCTCCCAAGTGCTGGGATTACAGGTGTGGCCACCATGCCCGGCCAAGATATGCTCTTTTAAAGCACATCCTGCACAGATGCGTCTGAACTATCTCTAGTCATTGTCCTAACTCACTCTCCAGCAGGCGTAGTGCAGGGTGTGGGCTCCCCATCACCATCCCAGTTCTTTGGAGGACCTTTGCCAATCCAACTCTTGCAAAGCTACGTCTCAGTTTTACTTTACAATTTTTCTAGCATCTTGGAATCTCTGTTCATGGAACAGTGCCGGCCCGGCTTCTGCCAGGCTCATAGCATCTTTATCATTTCCTCACTGTCACTGTGTTTCACTGTACAGGTTCTAGAATGTGTGCAAGTTTTGCACACACAATTTACTGCTTGGAAAGCTTCCCCACAAGGTCTTAGTAGATTCTTTCTAATTCCTAAAGACTCAGCTTACCTGCACCTGCTTGACCACTTTGTATACCAAGGCCTCTCCAAATATTTTCTGTCATGCATTTCCTTCATAGCACTGATCGCGTTTGATGACTTGCTTACGGGTGTATTCTGCATCCCTGCTGAAACACAAGCTCCCAGCACTCTGTCTGGCCCATGGTGCCTGTGTCCATTAGCCCACCTCTGACTTGAGTTCTCCAGTGGTGGTGGAGACTTCTGTGCCACCTCAGAGCATCTCTTGGGGCTACTCCAGGGCTCACATCAGGATTCCTCTAGAGCCTCAAGGAAGTGTCCCTTCCCCCAGGGCAGCCACGGAGGGCTTCTCCCAGTTGCAGTGGAACAACCCCTTCTTACTTGTCGTTCTGGAGCAACATCTGGAGGAACCGCTGGGCAGGGCATCCCAGGTTCTGTTTCCAGCGTTCCCCATCTGGAAAGAGGATATCCTTCAGTGCTGCTGCCCAGGGAGTCTGTGTCCCTGGAGTGTAAAACCCAGGCAGGCTGCTTTCCATCATCCCCATCAGTGGCACAGGTAGGGAAGCCGCAGCTGAGACACCTTCTGCCTTGAGGGCTTCCTGAGCAACTGGGCTCTGGCCAGCAATGCCTCCCAGGGCTCTGCCGTCTCTCGCTGCCTAGTTGTAAGCAATAAATCTGCTCTGCATAGATTATTGTTCTGTCTCCCCAGACTCAGACAAATTAGTAACCGATGCACAACAAATCTGCTTCACAGCAACCCTTACCAGTATGAGATAAACACCTCAGGCTTCCCTTCCCAGAGGCAGGATTTGTGCTGGGTTAGTGAGGCCCCTGCAGGTTGTTTTCCCTCCTTCCTGGACTCTTTCCCCTTCCTCACACCTGCTGCTGAAGTACCAGCTCCCAAATAAACTACCTGCTTTCAAGCTTTCGTCTCAGACTGCCTTTGGGGAAACCCAAATTAAGATAATATTCAAAGTATTTCTGAAGGAATGAGTGGGTGAATTATAGTACGTCTGATGTTTTCTCTTGTCCACAGGAGGAAGCAGTCAGCCTGGCAGGTGGATGATGGAACCCGTTAGCTCCTGCACCAGGACGCAGGAGATGGGTCAGACGATAGATGGTGGGCTCCAGCAGAAACGTAGGCAAGTGCTCCAAAAGCAAGGAGGTATGACTGACACTGCTTTTGGTTTTGGTGATTTTTTTTTTTGAGACAGGGTCTCAGTATGCATTTTAGGCTGGTCTTGAGCTCACTTTGTAACCCAGGCTGGTCTCCAACTCACAGCAATCCTCCTGCCTCAACCTCCTGAGTGCTGGGATTACAGTCATGTGCCACCATACCCGGCTGCTTTTGATGCCTGAGAAAGTTTGCAAGAAGTAAATGAGTGTCTAAGCTGCTTTAGTTACCCAGAGTGACCAAGAGTGGAGGAAGCTCATCTGCTTACACCAGTGCAAGAAGATAGCTGCGGCTCTGTCTGCCAAGTGAGACAGGATCCCAGGGGCCTTGGGACACTGTGGGTGGCTGGAGCTGCTCAACATCAGTGCTTTGCTTTCTTTTGGCCGAGAATGTCCAGCAACTGGAAGTGCCGGGTGATAACCCTAGCAGCAGCCTTCGGCCAGCAACAGGAGTGAGACCCCGGCCCTTCCCTCCTGCAGTGCAGTTCTCTGGCACGTCCACACCGGGGACGGGGTCTCTGTGCTCCCATGTGCAACTGTATTGGCTTTTTTCCTTTCCTCTGCTGCTGTTTCCTGGGGTCACCTCCCAAATAAACTTATGCCCAAGTGCTTTCTCAGGATTTGTTTTTGGGGACTATTTAATATGAGATTTTCATCACTCAGGTGATTTTGATAGTAAACTAAGTAAAACATGTCAGTTGCTTCTCTGATTTCTTTGTCTGGTTTCTGAAGTCCATAATCACGTACTACTGCCTCTCCAGACAAACCTGTTCCCTCCGGCTTTCTGGAGCAGCCGGGCCTCTGTGTGTGGCTCCCTTGCCATCTCCAAAGCCCAGCACACATGTGAAGGGTGGCAGGGAGAACTTGTGCTGGCCAAAGGGAGGCTGGGCTGTATCATCCCGCCTGCCATGTTGCCCGTTATGTGGTCACTTTAGGCATAGATGAATGGTCCATTGAGGTCACTTTGTGCTGTGATGCTAAGCAGGCTGAAGCAGGAAGTGTAGCTGTAACAGGTGAGTCATGTTCTGGGTGCTTCATGAAGTATCCAAGTCAGGAGGGAGGTATGACTGCATTGTCCTGCTGATTTGCCAGGTCCTCTCTCCCTGATGGCCTTTCACATTCACCATTAAGTCTGATTTGCTGTCAATCAAGAAAAATCTTTTTTCTAGTTTGTTTTTTTGAGTCACTAATGAGTATTGAATTTTTAAAAAAATTTTTTTTTTTTTAAATTTTTTTCTGGTACCAGCAATCGAACTCACGACCTTGTGCTTGCCAGGCAGGCGCTGTCCCGCTGAGCTAAATCCCCAGCCCCTGAGTATTGAATTTTATTTTGTGCATTTTATCTGTTGAGGTAATCATTTAATTTTGCTCCATTCTAATGTTGAATGACTTATACTATTACAAAGTGTGTGTGTTGTTTTTTCTATAGTGCTGGATTTGGTTTTCTAACACTGGGTTTAGGCAGTTTGCTTATTTGTTTAGTCTCCTCTCCTCCTCTGGCGGTGCTAGGGATTGAACCTGTGCAGGTAGGCAGCACTCTACCACTACATCCCCGGCTCTTTCCACTTTTTAGTGTGAGATGGCCTCACAATATTGCCCAGGTTCGCTTCAAACTTTTGATTCTCCTGCCTCAGCCTCCTGGGTAGCTGAGATCACAGGCCACTGTGCCCTACTAGATACTTTCCTTGAATATTCATGAAAGAGATTGGCTTGCAATTTTCTTTCTTATATTTTCTTGGATTTGCCATCAGGCTTACTTTAGCTTTACAAAATGAGTTGGAGATTTTCTGGTTTTAAATCTTTCCAGTGTTTAATGTTTGAATTTTCTGTTTCTTGAGTACTTGATGGAATATGTACATTTTCTATGGGAGACATTTAAACTGCAGATTCCATTTCTAATAACTCAGTTTTCTATTTCTTTTGCAGGCAACTTTAGTACCCTTTTAGGGATTTCCCCCTTTTACCTGTTTTCAGCTTTCACATAACATTATTCACCCCTTATCTTCTCAGCATTTGCAGTTACGCCCTCTATTTCACTCAGAATATTATTTACTTGTACCATTTCTTTAATTGATCAATACTTACAGAAACTTGTACATTTTTTTTTTTTTTTTTGAGACAGGACTCACTATATAGTTCAGGTTGGCCTTGAACTGGCAGAGATCCTCAGCGTCCCAAGTGCTGAGGTTACAGGCCTGTACCCACACACCTGGCTGAAACTTGTAAATTTTGTGACTTCCCCTGCACAAAGAACTAACTGTGGGCTTTGTTGAACTCTATAATGTCTTACTTTATATTTTAAAATTTCTTTCATTTTTATTATTTTTTTTCTTGTACTTTCTACTTCTCTAGTTTTAGCCAAATATTTATTTCACCAATTTTCAGCTGGTCTTTTCTTCTAATAAGCACATTTACAGCTTTACGTTTCTTTCTAAGTGCTACTTTTTCTCTAGCCATATATTTTACTGTGCTGTATCTTTGTATTGTGAGTTTGAAGGATTTTTAAAATGTCAGTATTTGGCTTCTGTGTTCCAAATGTTCAGAAATATGTTTTAAATTTTGAGTTAATATTGAAGTGAACTTTTTCAGTGGTGAATTTCCCCATGGCTGTCCTGTGGCCAGGGAGTGAACCTGGTGCTGCCCGAGCTCAGGCACTCCCTGAGACCCCATCTGCGTTCTCAGCCCTGTCTCTGCCAGCTGACTGCAAGTTTTATGTGGGTCTGGGAGATGTGAGTAAAGTGCCTGCTAGATCACTTTGTGCCCTGACACTCAGACTTCAGTGCTGAGCCTCAGACACCCAGCCCAGGTCAGAAGCCCAGACTCCAAGAAGGTAGAAGGTGTCTGTTTTCCTTTCCTTGGCTTCCAGAGGGCGCCCAGCCCATAGAAAGCGTTGATAAGTGCTCACGATACTCGTGAACCTATGAATGAAGTCTACCCTCAAAATTTAATAATCACATTTTTTCTTTTGAAAATTTTGCTGTTTTTTTCCAGGTAGCAATACATCGCCTGGTTCACAACTTCACAGATACACAGTAGTGTCCTGTGATGGTTTCCCAGCCACCCACTCCTGTTCCTAGGAACTACTGCTCACAGTTCAAGAGGTATTTTATGCATGTACAAGCATTTCTTTTTTTTTTTTTTTTGGTTTTTCTCCAGTACCAGGAATCGAACTCACGACCTTGCGCTTGCCAGGCAGGTGCTTTGCCACTGAGCTAAATCCCCAGCCCAGCATTTCTAATATACTTTTTAATTACAATAAAATAGCTTTGCTCCAGCCTTATTTATTTATTTATTGAGATGGGTTCTTGCTATGCTCTTGCTATGTAGTTCAGGTTGGTCCTGAACTCACTATGTATAGCCCAGGCTGGCCTTGAACTCACAGCAATCCTGCCTCAGCCTCCCAAGTGCTGGGATTACAGGTGTGCACCACCACGCCCAGCCAGCTCCAGCCTTATTAATTCCCTTGTGTAGTTCTGAATTCACTTGTGAATGTAGTATTTGGTATCATTTGTTAAAGGGACGCTAGGAGGCAGTGTAGCACAAGAGGTAAGACATCAAAAACCATGATTTCACAGGTTTCCTCACAGGAGAGGTCTCCCAAATAGGTATACTGTATGCCTATTCTGTTTTTCGAGATGGAGTCTCACCATGTTGCCCAGGGTGGTCCTGAGCTCTTAGGCTTGAGTGACCCTCCTGCCTCAACTATGACTATGGGCCCATGCCATGGAGCACGGCTGTGGCAGTGTTAAGAAATTAATGGGTGCTTGCCTGCTTTAAACTCTGGGTGCTTTAAACACTTTCATAAACGTGGGCTGTGGGACAAGCCCAGTGTCTGACATGGGACTCAGACATTTTTTCTTTGTACCAAGGATCGAGCTCAGGACCATGTGCTCTCCAGGCAGGCACTTGTGCCACTGAGCTATATCCCTAGCTAGACATGTTTGGCTTATGGAGAAAAACACTACTGCAGAAAGAGTCTCCTCAGAACATGTCTGTGTGCCCTCATCCCTCAGGAACTTAGCTTCAAATGGCGATGGAACCTGGAGGTTAAAGGCCACGAGGCGCTGTCCCTGCTCTGTCTACTTCCTCTGGTTTAGAAACTCTCTTTTTTTGTTTTTGGTTTTTTTTTTGTTTTTTTTTTTTGGTTTTTCTCCGGTACCGGGAACCGAACTCAGGACCTTGCGCTTGCCAGGCAGGCGCTTTGCCGCTGTGCTAAATCCCCAGCCCCCTCTTTTTGTTTTTGTACTGGGAATTGAACTCATGACCTCAGCCTTGCCAGGCAAGCACTTATGCCACTGAGCTATATCCCCAGCAGATCGATCCCTCTCTTGTCCCAGCCCCTCACCCTACTTCCTTCTCCTGGGGCTGGGCCTCACCCATGCCCTCCACTGGAGCCTTCTGGAGCCTTCTAAAGCGCTCCAGAGCCAGGCCAGGGCAGACATGTGTACTTCCTCCGCCAGCCCGCCCCAGTCCGTGTCCCGTAGAGGTCATCTGTGCGCATTCTTCATTTAACAGCACACCCTGGAGAGAGTCCTATCACGGTGAACAGAGAGAGCGGATGCTAACAGCTCCTTTAAAACTGAGCTCGTTTACTGTCAATAAATCGCACACATCTCCAGGGCTCGGTGGCTTTCTCACAGGTTCACACCTGTGTCACCAGCAGCCCTTCAGGACAAAGGCACAGCCAGCACCTGACAGTCCCTCCTGGCCACAGCCCTCCTGGGACCCCAGGTATGACCCAGACACCCTGCCAAGGGTGCCTGGTGCACTGATGCTGCATGGAGGTCCGGGAGTGTGCGACCCTTTGCGGTGAGAGAGGGTGATGCAGTGATTGTCCTGATCACAGGCCACCTCCTGTCTGCTCACCTTCAGAGATCCACACTGATCTTGTGTAGAACTCAGAAAACGCCCGTTTCAGTGGGGTCCTTGTGCTTCTGCTGTCGCTCCAGGTCCTGTCCTTCGCTACATGGAGCCCTGGTACCCACCACCCTCTTCTCTGACCCTGCAGCCTCTCTCCTGGGGTGACGCTCTCTAGGCCTGCTTGGCACTGTGCCTGCTGGGACAGGAAGATCGCAAATTCCAGGTCAGTCTAGGCACTTTAGTGAGATCTTGTCTCAAAATGAAGTTAAAAGAAAAACATAAAAAAGGCTGAAGGTGTAGCTTAGTGGTAGAGTGCTTGCATAGTATGTGCAAGGCCCTGCATTCAGTCCCTAGTCCCTCTCTCTCTCTCTCTCTCTCTCTCTCTCTCTCACACACACACACACACACACACACACACACACACACACACATTTTACTGGTTATGCCAGCGGTGTCTTTTAGAGAGCAAACCAAAGCAGAACAGAAGCTCCTTTCCTTTCCTCTTCTTCCTTTCTGGTCAGAGATGGCCCAGGGTTGCTATATTTAATTGTCTGTTTCACTGTTTTTCCACCCAGAAGAGTTCTTCGGTCTCTCTTTGCCTTTCACCTCCCTGCCTTGCAGTGAATGAGCCAGCTACTCAGTGGCAAACAAGGGTCCTGAGGCAGTTTGTACCCTTCAAATCCCACGTGAAACTTGGCCTCCAGTGTGCCAGTGTGGAGAGGTGACGGGGTCTTTGGGAGGTGACTGGGCCCCTGGGA